AAAGATTTATTTCCGTCCAGTGTTGAATAAATTTTTCGCCAAGATCTTGGATTGATGATGCGCAAAGCCCTCTCTAGCACATCCCAAAGATTCTCAATGGGGTTGAGGTCTGGACTCTGTGGTGGCCAATCCATGTGTGAAAATGATGTGTCATGCTCCCTGAACCAGTCTTTCACAATTTGAGCCCGATAAATCCTGGCATTGTCATCTTGGAATATGCCTGTGCCATCAGGGAAGAAAAAGTCCATAGATGGAATAACCTGGTCATTCAGTAGATTCAGGTAGTCAGTTGACCTTATTCTTTGAGCACATACTGTTGCTGAACCTAGACCTGACCAACTGCAGCAACCCCAGATCATAACAGTGCCCCCACAGGCTTGTACAGTAGGCACTAGGTGTGGTGGGTGCATCACTTCACCTGCCTCTCTTCTTACCCTGATTCACCCATCACTCTGGAACAGGGTAAATTCTGACTCATCAGACCACATGACCTTCTTCCATTGCTCCACAGTCAAATATTTATGCTGCCTAGCAAATTGAAGCCTTTTTTTCCCTGTTAGCCTCACTGATTAGCGGTTTTCTTACGGCTACACAGCTGTTCAGTCCCAATCCCTTGAGTTCCCTTCGCATTGTGCGTGTGGAAATGCTCTTACTTTCAGTATTAAACATAGCCCTGAGTTCTACTCTTGTTTTTCTTCGATTTGATCTCACCACACGTTTAAGTGATCGCCGATACCAATCATTCAGGATATTTTTCCCCCCACATTTCTTCCTTGAAGATGATGGGTCCCCACTATCCTTCCAGTTTTTAATAATGCGTTGGACAGTTCTTAACCCAGTTTTAGTAGTTTCTGCAATCTCTTTAGATGTTTTCTCTGCTTGATGCATGCCAATGATTTGACCCTTCTCAAACAGACTAACATCTTTTCCACGACCAACATGGTTGCTTAGGAAATGAGAAGCAAATCATTGCACCGGTTGGGGTTTAGTAATTTGTTGCCAGCTGAAAGATAATCGCCCATGCAGTAATTATCCAATAGGAGGCTCGCACCTATTTGCTTAGTTGAATCCAGGTGGCAACTTTTTTTTTTTTGGCCAGGCAGTGTATGATTCCTTTAAATAAGAATTTACACTTTTTGCATAATTCTGACCTCATAAGAATTATTCATTAAACCCTTTTGAGCAGCAGATGATCAGAGAATATAATTGTTATTCTTACACTGGTAGTTTTGGATGAGATACATCAACTTGTAAGGAAGGACTTCTGTGGTAAATCTGTAACAATAAAAAAAGACGATGCATGTTAGGAAATAGCAGTGGCAGAAATCTACTGAACAGCAAGTAGATCAGAGAAACATCAACTGATTATGTCGGCATCAAAAAGCTGACCTCTTCTTCTCTAGCATCCTCATAAGTGCTGTCCGGCGTGTTCCCCTGTTCTTCTTTTCGGTAACCAGGAAGTGATAAGTCATAGCAGTTCTGCTCATAAAGCCTCCTCATCTGCTCTCTGGATTCTTCCAGGCGGGAGCCAGCAGACGGCATGGACGTCTGGCCCTCTGTTTTCACCAGAGCGAGAGGTGCGTAGCTCCTGTCTTTACCGTCTCCTCCCCTGGTTTCTGAGGCAGCGCTGATGGCGCCGCGTTTGGAGCCGTAATGTTCTGTAGCAGAGCTGTTCAGGGAGAGGTTGACCGGCATGGATCTCAGAGTCTGACTGTGGTGATCCAGCATGTCTGGGCCCAACACTGCAGAGGAGGGATCTGCGGGCGTAACGCCACTGGAAGAGCGTTTTCTCTCTCTGGGAACCTGAGGGGGTTTAAAAAGAACTGAATTAAAACTGGAAATCAATGCAGAAATCAATACATGTGACGTCTTAGTGTTAAATAAGAACGAACAAGATGAATATAGTTTGAACTTTTTTTACCTTCTAACCTTTGTCCTTTCCAAACTAAATGAAAAACAAATTAAAAAGAACTGTAAAGATTTTTTAAAGATTTATTTCAAATTCCTCTTATAACCCAAATATAAGAGTCAACTTTAGTCGGTTTTTACTGACTTTTTCTTGGCAAATTAAAGAATCTACATTAATAAAATGAATCTGGAGCAGTGTAAAAATTATGCAGGATTAGGATGACCATCATCAGGTGGAGGAAAAATGTCCTCAATGGAGTAAAAAAAATGTCCTCAATGGAGTAAAAGAGAAGAGAGTGGTTGATTTGGGGGCCGGCTGATAGTTTTGAATGAAATTAGCATTTTTTTTCTAGCATCAGCTGATATGATGGTCGATTCATTAGTGATGTGGTTCCCAAACAGTGATGGAAAAAATATATAAAATAAGTGACCCAGTTTGCCTTTTTTATATATTAAAATANACCTGCCTCTCTTCTTACCCTGATTCGCCCATCACTCTGGAACATGGTAAATCTGGACTCATCAGACCACATGACCTTCTTCCTTTGCTCCACAGTCCAATCTTTATGCTCCCTAGTTAATTGAAGCCTTTTTTTCCGGTTAGCCTCACTGATTAGTGGTTTTCTTATGGCTACACAGCTGTTCAGTCCCAATCCCTTGAGTTCCCTTCGCATTGTGCGTGTGGAAATGCTCTTACTTTCAGTATTAAACATAGCCCTGAGTTCTACTGTTGTTTTTCTTCGATTTGATCATTCAGGATTTTTTTCCGGCCACATTTCTTCCTTGAAGATGATGGGTCCCCATTATCCTTCCAGTTTTTAATAATGCATTGGACAGTTCTTAACCCAGTTTTAGTAGTTTCTGCAATCTCTTTAGATGTTTTCTCTGCTTGATGCATATCAATGATTTGACCCTTCTCAAACAGACTAACATCTTTTCCACAACCACGGGATGTGTCTTTCGACATGGTTGTTAAGGAAATGAGAAGCAAGTCATTGCACCGGTTGGGGTTAAATAACTTGTTGCCAGCTGAAAGATAATCGCCCATGCAGTAATTATCCAATAGGAGGCTCCTACCTATTTGCTTAGTTGAATCCAGGTGGCGACTTTTTTTTTGGCCAGGCAGTGTATGATTAGCCTCGTGAGACCATCCTGATCTCGCAAGCTTTTAAGGTTTCACTCGCAGATCAGTCTGGCTACTTTCCGTTAAAGAAAATTTGGAGCCGTTCACCAAACGAACATCCAATCAGCGTTGGCTTTGAGGCGGGTTGAGGTGTGACGCAACAAGTTCAGTCTAAAGAACATGGCGGCTTCAGCCGATGAAACTAGTGTTAGCGTGGCTATCAAGCAAGTTTTATCGGAAAAATATCCTTTGCCGACATGTTGCTTATTTGCTGAGCTAACGCACCTTTACCTGCAGCAGCAAGAGTAGCCTGGTTTGAGGTTGTGTTATCGTCGTCGTCGCTCTGTTAGTACATCATATGCTTCGTTGATCTGATTGGTTTATTTGGCCCGTCTATCACCAACATAGGCCAATCAGCTATCCAGTATTTTCGCCCCTTCCCAAAATTACTTCAACGGAAGGTTTCCAGATGGATATGCGGAGCAAATCCAGCAAATCCATCTGGCGGAGT